TTGCCCTCATTTGATTAAAAGGAAAAAACATTTCATATAATTTTATTTATTTGCAACAGCTGGCGACCGACGCTGCGATCTTTCTGCTTTGTGTTGGCCTTAGCGCTGCCAAATTTTGGCTATGTGGACGGCTGCTTTGAAATTCAACGCCAACGCAACGCAACATATATAAATATGCATGTTATGTATGTACATATATAACTCTAAAAAATATTTAATTCCATAATCTATGCTTATGAATGTAATAAATTGTATTTGTTGTTTAAAATGCTGCTCTAATATAATATTTGTGCAACATTGTCAGTACACAAGAGATAGAATAAGCGCAAAACTAGGCATTGTTAAATACCTTTCGGCTAAACGCTCATTTATCGGTTCGGCATTGCTGGTCAACATAACCAAGGCTCTTATTTTATCCACAATACGGTACGGGTTGGAAATCTATGGACATCACGCTAAGAGTAAATTCAAATTTCTGGCANTCAAATTGCTGGCATCCCCTTATCATACGGCAATACGTAGGTCACTACGCGCGTTTCCAACAACCCCACTGAAAAATCTGTATGCGAAATCTGGCCTAACATCCATAATTAATGAAGCTGAAGGNTACTATCTTCGAATGCTATTCTCCATAGGGACGTGCAGCTGGTTCTTTCGCGTAAACGTCAACCTAAGGTGCCATCAACCATTAATCTACGCGTTAGGTTTGCTAAGGATAATGACCTGCCACTGTTAAAATACCATAGACGTAAAATATTACACCCGCCGTGGTTACTTAAGGAGACATCTTTCATAAATGAACTAGTTCCTCTTCGGAAAGCGAATACATCTAGTGACGCTTACTTATCTAACTTCTTAGAAGTGTCAGAAAGGTACAAGTCCAATGGTTGGCAACTGATCTTTACCGATGGTTTGAAAATATCTCAGACCTCTTATGCAGTTGTAACAGAGCAAGGGGGCGTACAANCAGACCTCTTATGCAGTTGTAACAGAGCAAGGGGGCGTACTCTCCCAAGGACTTCTATTTTCGGTCTGCTCAATTTTCACTGCAGAAGCAACAGCAATATTTAACGCTATTCTTTATACTATGAAAACGAGAGGAAAGTTCGTAATCTGCTCTGATAGTATGTCATGCATTGCCGCATTAACAGAAAGTAGAAAAACTCATCCGTGACATACTCATTGCTCATCCCCAAAAAATTAAAATAATGTGGACGCCTGGGCACTCAAAAATACAGGGTAATATGCATGCAGACAAAATTGCAAAAGATATGGCCGCTACAACTACTATGACTTCAGGTATCATATTTAAAAGCGACATTTATCGGCTAATAAAATATAAAAGGCAAAGCAAATTATTAGCAGACTGGAGACGATATAGCCATCATTACTCCGAAATAAATCATAGTCGCTCTAAGCCAAAATTTACTACCTCTATACCGACCAACTATATTACGCCATACACTCGACTTCGTCTTGGTCATACAATTATCACCCATACCCATCTACTTCAAGGGGCTGAAGCCAGGGGATGCCCATTTTGTAACCTTCCACTCAGCGTGAACCATCTTTTGTCATCCTGCTCCGCACTCCAATCCCAGAGACATCATTACTTTAAAAATGCGGATCCTATTCAGTTGTTAAAAGATCCCACAGATGATAACTTAACAAGGATATACAAATACCTAAAAGATTCCGACCTGCTTCGACGTATCTAATATTTTATGCCACATGCCAAGCCGAAAGCCTCCGATGCTAGTGCTGCGTTAGTTTGTAAGTTTATATGATAATTGAATTGTTATGTAAACTTTTATAAAAATAAAAA